GCCCATAATCTGTCATGGGCCCCTGTACCGCCTCCTCATGCTGCTTCCAGGTCCAGAGTGTTGTCATGGGTCCCTGTACGGCCTCCCATTGCTGCTGTCTCCATCGCCACACTCTGCCAAGGGTGCCACTTTTAAGGTCTCCTCACACTGCTGGTGGGTTCCATTTTGTCATAGGGTGCTGTATGGCCTCCCATTGCTGCTGCCAGGCCCGTAATCTGCCATTAGCCCCGTACCGACTCCTCATGCTGCTGCCAGGCCCGTAATCTGTCATGGGCCCCCTGTAACCGCGCCTCCTCATGCTGCTGCCAGGTCCAGAGTGTGTCATGGGTCCCTGTAAACGGCCTCCCATTGCTGCTGTCTCCATCGCCACAACACTCTGCCATGTGCCACTTTCAGGTCTCCTCACACTGCTGCTGGTGGGTTCCATTTTGTCATAGGGTCTGGCAGATTACGGCCCTCCCATTGCTGCTGCCAGGCCCGTAATCTGCCATGGGCCCCCGTACCGACTCCTCATGCTGCTGCCAGCCCGTAATCCTGTCATGGGCCCCTGTACCGCCTCCTCATGCTGCTGCCAGGTCCAGAGTGTGTGTCATGGGTCACTGTACGGCCTCCCATTGCTGCTGTCTCCATCGCCACACACTCTGCCATGTGCCACTTTCAGGTCTCCTCACACTGCTGGTGGGTTCCATTTGTCATAGGGTGCTGTATGGCCTCCCATTGCTGCTGCCAGGCCCATAATACTGCCATGGGCCCCCGTACCGACTCCTCATGCTGCTGCCAGGCCCGTAATCTGTCATGGGCCCCTGTACCGCCTCCTCATGCTGCTGCCCAGGTCCAGAGTGTGTCATGGGTCCCCTGGTACGGCCTCCCCCATTTGCTGCTGTCTCCAATCGCCACACTCTGCCATGTGCCATTTTCAGGTCTCCTCACACTGCTGGTGGGTTCCATTTTGTCATAGGGTGCTGTATGGCCTCCCATTGCTGCTGCCAGGCCCGTAATCTGCCATGGGCCCCCGTACCGACTCCTCAATGCTGCTGCCAGGCCCGTAATCTGTCATGGGCCCCTGTACCGCCTCCTCATGCTGCTTGCCAGGTCCAGAGTGTGTCATGGGTCCCCCTGTACGGCCTCCCATTGCTGCTGTCTCCATCGCCACACTCTGCCATGTGCCACTTTCAGGTCTCCTCACACTGCTGGTGGGTTCCATTTTTTCATAGGGTGCTGTATGGGCCTCCCATTGCTGCTGCCTCCATCACCGCCACAAGCTGTGGCTCCACACTCTGGTTTTGGCCCCGTGGACTGCCCAAATGAGTGAAGTGTGCGGTGATTCTAAGATCGACGGCACTCATCTGCATGTCATTCTGACTGACAGTATTATTTCTCTCCCCAGCAGACTCCAAGGGCATTTAAATTAAAGGTACAGTGTTCTGCACTAATATAAAGGCTCTCTGAAGCCTAGAAACACCCTTTTTATAAGTTAAATTTGCAGCGAATATATTCGACTCGAATCAAATTTATTCCCGCGAATTCGCCGAATCAGCCGAATCGAATTTTTGAATAATTCGCTCATCTCTACAAGCTAGCAATAAAAAAAAAAACTTCAAATCTGCAGTGTCAATACAAAGAGAGGATGAACATTTGGCGTATTTCAAACATTTTTTTTGCTGTGTTTAGCTGGTGAGAGATGGCTATATTGTTCTATATATATTTTAAGTTTTTTTTTTAATTCACAATGACAGCTCAAGGTCATTGTTGGTATTTTATAAAACCTTGCCAGAAAGGCAAATAATGCAGAGACCCCAATGAGATACATACTGTACGTTGTTAACAGTATACATTGTTGAAGAGTTAAAACATTAAATACCTGGTCATTTTTGTCACTTGTAGTTGTCTGCTGGAGAAGCATATACACTACAGAAGAAGAGATGATGGTATTGATGCCAATAAACAGGTTGATGCACACATAGGTAATAAATGCCATGCCAGCATTCTTGAAATTTCCAGCTATCAGATACATCCAGGGAAAAGTTGCATAACTGAAAGACACAATTGCAAAATATAAATGACCGTGGTCAAGTATCTTCTTCAGATAATATCAGATCCATTAATTTAGTACATTTACCTTCAGAGTGTGTGTTAGACAAAGTATGTTAGGCTCCATAAATGAATGCATTAAACAAACTTTCATATTGTGTCAAACGGTATGCCAAAGACACCATACTGCACCACTAAACATATATACTATTTGCAAGTTCCACAGAAGACTATGTTCATTTTAAGGGTGTGTTAATCATTGCTAAAGTGTTACTAAACCCAAATCAATCTGTATATGCAGTAAAGCATGCTTGTTATACTCACTGTGGAACCTAAGGGTTAATCCTCTGCATTGTGTAAAAAGCCTGTTTGATGCTGTCTTCCCTGATCCTCCCCTTCTTCTACAGTCCCCAGTCCATCTACTGATAGTACAGAGCCCTAGAGTCACTCTGCACATGCTCAGTTTTAGTGCATATTGCTGGAAAGTTTTTTTTTTTTTTTTGAGGGGGGAGAGTGCATGTGATCAGCACAGGGCCAATCAGCACTCTCTAGACATAGGGTCAGGCGTCCTGCAGCCTAATATGATAGTCAGATGAGAATGAAAAATCCTCCTACAAGCTTTAAACCAGTGCTCATCTGGTCACTGATAGAAGTCACAAAGACTGGTATATACTGCTGATGAGAAAGGGTATTTAGCAGTTTATATTTACTAATATAATAGCATTTCCATGTTCTGTGTACTGTGGGAGGCCAGATATAATGAATGCAGGGTCCTGGGTTTAGTAACACTTTAAGGCAAGTTTACCATTTTGTTAAATTAGGGCTGATGAATTAAAACCTTTGAAAGGAAAATGAGAGCACGTGTAAACAAAAATATGTCAGTAACAGCCAATCAAGAAACTTATTTCATTTTAAATAAAAAGAACAAAGACACTTGATTTGCCATCCTGAGCAGCATCTCTAATGTTATTCTTGTTTCTTTATAAGTGTAGCCCCCCCCCCCCTAGTTAGGATGCTAGGTAAATTTAGTTTTTGGCTTCATTATAATCATTGGAGCAGTTGTTTCTTTTTGCTGTTCTGGGTTCCACATGTTGCACGTTTGATTGCCCCCCTGCCTTCCAGAAAGTTCTGGAACATAGGAGTGGAACACGGCAAATGGGCAGCATGAATATATATGGTGCTGCAGCCAATCCATGGGGAGGTGTTCCCAGAAGGTGGCTGAAGAGAATAGAGATAGTACAGGCTGAAGTATTCCTGTTCTAGTGATTCCATCTGTTTGGGTGGGGGGTGGATACCCCCTACCTCCAGTCATCCAGCTGTCTCAAGTGACTGAGTGACTGTTCACTGAGGACCCCACTTTGGCAGAATGTGAGGCCTACATCTGAGACAGTGCTGGACACCCTGAGGCTTCACCTAAGGATCTGACCCACTCAACCTCACTGGTAGACATCTGGAAGAAGCTGAATAGGCACAGCTACTCCTTTGAGCTTGTGTATACTGCTCTGTTTCAAGATCCTAGTGACTGAGTACTATTGGGATTGCCGAGCCTTATAGTTCCTCTTTTGATCGGTGCATAGCAACCAGTTCCCTCTAGTTTTGTGGAAACACTTTGAGCTGTTGTTGCTTTCTTGTGATGTACATTAGTCTCCTCTGATTTCTGCTAGGAGGACTGTCCTTTAAAGCTGGGTCAAGTAGTTCCCCTGTTGAGGAGCACATACCTCTAGCCTCTTCTAGTCTCACAGGAGTAGAATAATTTTTTGCAAAATTTTGCATCTTAAAGAGTGTCCTTTGTTTCTGTTAGTTGTTCTGAAATATCCCATACTTTTCTACACCAAATTATTTATTATTTTATTTCAGGTACTTATACAGCGCTGTCAATTTACGCAGCACTTTACATATATATATTGTACATTCACATCGGTGCCTAACCCTCAAGGGGTGTACAATCTAAGGTCCCTAACTCACAGTCATACATACACATACTAGGGCCAATTTAGACAGGAGCCAATTCACCTACCAGCATGTCTTTGGAATGTGGGAGGAAACAAGAGGAAACCCACGCTTACACAGGGAGAACATGCAAACTCCAGGCAGGTGGTGCTGTGGTTGGGATTCGAACCAGCGACCCTAGTACTGCCAGGTAGAAAAAGCTAACCATTTAGGCACTGTGCTGCACCATTTAGCCACTGTGCTGTCCCGAAATCCAAGTTCTCTAAAAAAAAAAGAGACATCCCCTAGACTGCTGTTTGTGTCAGTGTGCCTGAACTGTGAAGGAGAACTTTGGTTATCATCATTATCATCATCATTATTTGTGCTGGAAGTGTACAGTGACTGTGCCTGACCATCATCAGCTAACATCCCTTTCGAGGGTACTGCTACAAAGCCAACTTAGAGATGAGACAAACATACACATTACAGACTGATGGAAAGGTGAAAGAAGGTATATGGTAGTATGCCATATACATTTCCAGCAGGAGGTGGACAGCCTTACTTGCTAGATTTAGGAGCTTATGAGTGCTTGGCCTTCAACAGAGCCCCTGACTGTGACAATGGAATTGGCCATAGCACACTTTTCCTAACTGAGATCTTCGGTATTACCTTGCTGGAGACAACTGACAGATAGGCAATGACAGGCGGGGAGAACAAATGATTACATGGAGTGACAGAGTTAGGAGAACACTGTCAGGAAACTTAAAGGATGAATGGAATGAGGGTTAAGCCAAGGCAACAATTATACAAGAATTATATACAGGGAATAACAAGGCTAAGAAGCTGGGATGCATAGAGACACTAGAGTTGAACATCAATTTTCCTGTGGAAACTAATGAGACGTGGCAGGCTTAATTAGACAAAGGCTGCAAACACCACACATGTGGGGATATGGTGAAACAGGACGAAAGCACAGCCCAAAGTACAGAAAACATATCCCAGACCGCAGAAGGAAAGACAGGAGAACAGGATAGACAGAAAGGATCACATCTGAAAGATCTTCACGATAAACTTTATACTGTATGCTTTCTTTATACTTTCTCCATCTGCTCATCCCCCATAACAATTACCTTTTGTATCACCTGACCCTGCCTCTTAGATTGTAAGCTCTAATTAGCAGGGCCCTCTGATTTCTCTTGTACGAAATTGTATTGTGACTATATTGTCTGCCTTCATTTTGTAAAGTGTTGAGCAAAACTGTTGGAGCTATATAAATCCTGCACAATAATAATATAATAATAATATCCAAATATTAAAAGAATAATAAAAATCACTTCCCGCTGTGGAAAGCAGCTTACCCAAATAAAATAAACAGTAGAGATACTGCTCCAAGGTTGGGTAGTTGTAGAATGCTGGAAGTTTAAAGGCTGCTATCATTGCTATGGAAAGGCCTACCGGTATGAAGTAGATGGCCTGGTGAAGAGAACACAAAATAACTTGTTTAGCAAATATTTTTTTTAGCAAAATGGGAACATACAGAAATTTTTGGGAGAGAATGGATAGGTTTAAAACTATGGAAAAGATTCATTGATGACATTATGATGATCTGGGAAGGCCCTTTGGATACCTTTAAATGTGTTTTTGCAACACATTAAGGATAATCAATACGATTTTGGATTTACATACACTATAAATACAGAATTGGTTAATTTTTTAGATCTGAAAATTTTTAAACACGAGAATAAATTATATTGTAAGACATACTTTAAAGAAACAGACAGGAATGGGTATATTCCAACCTGCAGCTGCCATCACCCCCAATGGATCCAAGGTATGCCTAAGGGGCAGTTCACTAGGATTATGAGGAGCTGCTCAAGATTAGGAGATTATATTGAGTAATCATACATTAAGGAAAGATTTATACAGAAAGGATATGATGCCAAGAAATTTGAAAAAATTAGATTTAAAATTACAACTATTTGGGGATGGTAAGATTAAGAAAAATCAGGATCTGAAAAGAGAGAAAATGAAGAAGGTTGAATATAAAATTTTATTTCTCATTTTAGTTGTCAGTATAAAGATATGGAAGCAATTTTTAAAAGATATTGGCCGATCATAAAAAAAAGACAAAATGTTAGGGTCGTTATTACCAGAAAAACCATCATTTATTTATCGGAAAACAAATAATATCCATAATACGTTAGTGAAAAGCGTCATTTCTCCTCCCAAAAAAAAAAAAAATGCAAATGTTTGACCTGAAATGTTTTTATCAGTATAAAAAATTTAAAGTATGTAGAACCACTGGTGCAAATAGAAGAGTTATATCGAATTTTACCTCCTGTACTACTGGAGAAGAGTTAAATATTAAGAAATTTATTACATGCTCTACTGCATATGTGACTTATTTGTTAGAGTGTCCATGCTGGCTCCAATATGTAGGAAGAACTAAGAGACTCCTCCATGAAAGATTGAGGGAAC